TGTGCCTATTGATGTGTTTTGTTTTGTATTTTTGTACTGTAACTGAAAAAAGACAATAAAAACATTTGTCAAAAAAAAAAAAAAAAAAGGCTGTTTAAGGTTCCAGACTTATTTTGAGAGTTGAAGTGAGAATAACAATTAGGTCAAAGTTAGTCGTTTTGGTCTGTGTTTGTGTGTGGTGTGTGTTTATACATACATTACAGCTTTGATTAGCAGATTAATCAGCATATTGGCCACTATTTAGATGTATGTATAACTTTGTAACAATGAGACACAGCATGGCTTCACACTGCTTAACTATCGCGCTTCTATTGGCTAGCGTTCAAACTGATTGTACGTGGGACATCTTTAAGCGGTTGACCAATCACAACAGAGCCAGCCAACTAACCAATCAGAGCAGACTGGGCTCTGGTTTCAGACAGAGGGTGAAAAGGTGCTGCAGCATAGACAGTATGATAAAAATAAAAATATTTTTGAACATTAAAGTATGTAAACATGTCACAGTAGAGGCATTAAATTCACATATTAAACCTGAATTGGAGCACAATAGGGTCCCTTTAAGTTGTACTCCATACGGTGATGTGATACGTGTGCAGATGCTGAGCTGTGTATCTGACATGTTTCAGGTGTACGGTGCCGCCATCCAGTTCTACGAGCCCTTCCCCCAGGTGTGTCTGACTGATGCCCAGCGCTCCCAGCTGGGTCTCCTGAGTCCAGATCCAGTACAACCAGCCTCCTCCAGCTGTACGGAGACATCCACCAGCACCACCAGCAGCCCGGCCAAAGCCCAATGCTCCGTCTACACCAACAAGTGCATCTGTCTGCTTTCCCACTGGCCCTTCTTCGACGCTTTCCGCAAGTTCCTCACATTCCTATATCGCTACTCCATCTCTTGCCCTCACGCCCTGCCCATCGAGAAGTAAGTTCTCTTTCTTATCTTTAGATTTTTATGCTTTTTTTCTTGCTAAAAGGGATTTTTACACGTTGTTCTTTATCAAGTTGCAAAGTGTGGGTGAAGTCACTAGTTTCAGATTAGTTTGTTCACATTCTCCATTTCCATTAGGCCTATAGATGTTTATTTAAAAGAAGTCTTTAATGTACTTTTCAACCTAGAGAAACGTCACACTCCCAGATAATGTACAGTCATAAAAGGTTCATTTTCTAACCACTACTCAATAATGATTCATTGATTGTTTTAACCACCCGTTAGTGGTGCAGGACACATTTTAACCTACGTGATTTGATATTTCCTGCTGAAATGCACCCTGGGTGTTGTAGGTAACTTTACACTCCATAACCGTGTCTTTTTTAATATTTTGTATATGATAGGGAGAGTTAAATTCAGCTTTTTATAACTTTGAGTCACGTAAAATGATCTTTAGGAAAAATGAATTAATCTTTCAATTCTGGAACCAATGGGGCTTGAATTACCGGTAGCTCTTATCATTTCACAACTCTGTAATCTTTTCTGACAATATATCCTCTGTTTAGTGTTGAAAAATGTCTCTAAAGTCATATTCTGACAGAATTTAAATCAAAGATGAGCTCAGGTGATATTAAAAGCTCCCAACCCCCTCTAGAGAAATAAATCCAGTTTAAATGGAACTCACGACAGAAATGTTATTTATTCCTTGACAAAAGTGCATCATTCTTTAACAGCAAATTACCACACACTGTCAACCTTACTAAATCAAAGGAGATATTATCAATATGTGATATGCAGAGGTACGGACAGCAAAGCCTTATGTTTAATGCTGATATGCTTCTATCTGTACACTAGGAAAATGTCTGTGCTTGCTAATAGTGTAACAATACACCAAATAGCTAAATCGGTCCTGAAAGCAAGTTGTTTGAGGTTGAATATTTACTTTACCACTTTGGTAAGGTGAATTAACAGAATATATTTTACTGCTGCTCGTAACTCTTAGGCTTCCCGACTTTAAGAGGTGCATTGTCTTATCATTCGAACATTAGCTGCCTGTAGCGGCCGGAATAATAATGAAATAAAACAGATAATTAACTTAAAATAACACTCCCGCTGAGGCAACATTTAGCGAATCTTACGCAGGGCAATGATCCAAATCCAGTCAGTAATCTCTGTTTGTGCATGATCCAATATCATTAACAAGAGAAAAATGAACATGTTTCCTATCTATTCCTTTCCTTAAGCCTTTCCTATGGCTTTCCTTGTGGCTTGAATCACCCTTTTAAAAAAACATGTGCCTACTAGTGCGCTACCCCCACCACCACCTGTCTCCAATATGTACAATTACACCAGGGTCCTAATCACCCAGTGCCCAAACATGCTCTCAAAATAAAAGCATAAAAACTCCTTTAACTCACTTAAATAACAACACTAAATAATAATACATTCACTTTAAACAGATACAACAAGTAAATACATGTTTAACTATTAATAATATAAAGCAATATATAGCTCCAACTCCGCCCATTTTGTTGCCTTACCTTGCCATTATTCTTTTTTTCCCCCACAGGCACATCTCTCATTTTATGCACAAAGTTCCCTTCCCTTCCTCTCAGAGGCCTCGCATCCTGGTGCAGGTACGTTTGGCTCGCAGGAGGCATGTATTGTTTGCTGCATATGGCGCATGTGATAAATAGCTATTAATCATTCTGCAGACAGTAGTGTTGTTTTCATACAGGGGGCCGATTCTTTCCTCCTTTATGAATGAATATTAAATGATTCAGTGCAGGCATATTTTGTTGGGTTGGTTTATCTCACTCTCCAGCTTTTCTGCAGCTTTCCCCTCATGACAGCCTGATGTTGAGCCAGCCAGTGTCTTCTCCCTTACCGCTCAGGTAAGAGCCGCTGCACACACGTGTCTTCTTGTTAGATGTTATAGAATGTTATAGAATAATGCAATTTCTAACTGACTGTCACAAGGATGCACTGTATGAGCTGTATATGGATAAGCATAGTTCAGATCTTATATTGATTTATAAGACTGTTAGTTGTTTGAAAAATGTTCAATAAGAAAGCGCAGGTAGATCTTATATATTGTATATTATATTGTCAATTTTGAGCTGTCCTCATACACTTTCATCCAATACCAATATTAGATTTCCAATTCAACAATATATTTTTAGTATTTTTCGACCCCATAATCTGTTTAATGGCCACAATGACTTAAAACAACCTGTAGTAGTTTCTCCTGGATGTATCTGGAACATTTTAATTACATTTTGTTTTGCACATTTGTGTTTGTCGTAGCGGTGGTCGATTTTCCACGCTGCTCCAGAACCTCGGACCAGAGAACGCCGTCACCCTGCTGGTGTTTGCCGTCACTGAACACAAGATCCTGGTGCACTCGTTACGCCCCGCCGTGCTGACCAGCGTCACCGAGGCTCTGGTGTCGGTAGGTTCCTCTCTTCAGCTTCAGACAGGGGGTCGTTTTCTATCCTCTCACCTCCTAGCGTTAAACTCTTAATGCAGCCATGCCCCTCATTACTTTTGTAAACTCCAGCTTTTATATTTTTAGTAACTGCTGCACTTTTTAATGTTTCTTATGTTTTTATAATCACGGACTTTGTCACTATCAGTTGGTAGCGGCTTAAGTCATACACTGTGTTTTGTGGTTATTGTCATCCTCAACCAATATATTTACATCATGTTCTTTTCTCTGCTAACCTGAATGTTGAGATCTTTGAAATGAGCCCTTTTTTATTTTTCCATCCTCAGATGATCTTCCCGTTCCACTGGCAGTGCCCGTATATTCCTCTGTGCCCGCTGGCGCTGGCTGACGTATTAAGCGCCCCCTGTCCATTCATCGTAGGAGTGGACTCCCGCTACTTTGATCTTTATGACCCCCCACCAGACGTGAGCTGCGTGGATCTGGACACAAACACCATCTTCCAGTAAGCCCTGAATGCAAAACCTCCCATTGTTGCTGCTATATTATTTATGTGAAGGGTGATATCTGTAAAAGGACAGTTTTGGATACTCGGTTGCCTTCTCATGATGCAAATGAAGTGGGATCATAGTGTGAGGGATTAACCTCAGGGCATTAAGCTGCATATAGGCTGTACGGCTCTCTTAGTTTAGAGCTCAACATTGTTTCCTTTGCTGCATATTTTTTTCCAAACCACAAAACTGCCAGTTCATGAGTTCTAACTTTAGAGGCCAGACCATTTTCCTGGAGTCTAGGTGAGAATGGTTATTTTTCTAGTGTCAGGCTCATTGTAATATGAAGAGAAGGCATTTTTCTAAGGCCTCATGTAAGGTCAATTATGGTTCACATCATTTTTTCTTGCCTCATTACCAGTCAAACAGTGTTAGGGTGGTCTCCCCCCCGGCCCGCCAAATGTTCATGTTGGTTTTGGCCTCTCAGTCTCTCCACAGCTCACTGTGTACTTCTCCTTTACCAGCAATGAAGATAAGCGAGCCCTCACGTGGAAGATCCTGCCAAAGAAAGCCTGTAAAAACCTGATGAATGTGCTGAGCAATCTCCACCAGCAGCTGGTCGACGGTGAGTTCTGATCTGATAAAACTAAAAAACATTAGAGCATCGGTAGTCCTTCATGTATGGCAAAGTAAACTTTCAGCAACCTTTTCCATTCACCTGGTTTTCAGTTTGTGTTCATTTCAATAAAAGGTTGCGGCTGTAGAAATAACTGGGTTGTCATTCCGTTGCATTCTCGGGAACAGGATACTTGAGGAACTACTGGAGGGACTTCTTTATTTTGCACTACAATTCAAATGGACCTAAAGGGTGAACTGATGAGATTTTGGTAGCCACATATCAAAGGTCACTGTGACCTCAAAAGCAATTTTTTTGGCCGACTCAAGAATTGATATGCTAAGTATAACAATTTCACACAAATAACTTATAGGACAACATTATAAAGTGATTATTTAAAATTTAAAGTGACAAATCCTCACAGATAGTTTAAAGCTTTATTTATCATCTTTAATTTCAGTCCATGCAATTTGTTCTCCATTCAAACTACTGTTCTGCTCTCCAATCCACTCATTGAAATATGAATAATCCCATGGTGTCTTTTAATTACTACTCTGTGGTGCTGATTGTATTTCTGCCAACTTTCTCTGCTCCTCTAAGAGCTTGCTCCCTAAGAGATCATGAAACCTGCTGCGTATTGAGCTGCAAATAAATGAATGTCTGATTCAGTGAAGTGAAAATCTACCCACTTTCTGATGGATATTGATAGGCCTGGCAGAGATTTGAGTGGAGACATTTAAGCCCCATGGACTTCGGAAAATCTCTGAAATCAACTTGAGTTTATTTTGTCTAATGATGTAAGTCTTATCCTTATTTGCTAATATGAATACTCACTTACTTAAAGCAGTGCTCTGGTGTAAGAACCTTCAATACAAATCCTTTGATCGTAAAGACTCCACCAAAATGCAAAAGATGGAACAGCAGCAAAAGTGATGATTCAACCATTATGTTGACATGTAGAGATTCTTTTACAGTTTGTAGTGATGGCTGCTGATGTATTTCCTCTTCTGTCTTTAGGTCAGCAGCGTCCTGACGGGCTGCTGGAGCTGAGCATGAATGATTTAACAGAGTTGAGCTGTGGTAAGAGCCTCCACACGCTGGAGCTGGAGATCCAGGAAGCCTTTCTGCGCTTCATGGCGGCCATTTTGAAAGGCTACCGCTCATTCTTGCGACCAATCACCCAGGCACCTTCTGAGAAAGCGACGGACGCCAGCTCCCTCTTTGACCTGCAAGGTATCTGGAATAATGTCACTTTGACCACTTGTAACCAACACTTTGGGTCACTTAACGTAACCTCGGTTATTTGATAACCTGCAGTGCAGAGGAAACGGCATGCAAAGAAATGTATCTGCAAAATGATTCCCAACACAGTATTTACTGACCACAGATGGTTTAAGCTTTACTGTTCTATTCCAGTAATCTGAAGGACTTGTTCTGTCAAGCAAAATAAAGTTAGTCCACAACAAACTCCTGTTTGGTAGAAATATTTGTTAGTCTACTACAAATAAACACGACGTTTATCTTCTGTTAACTTGGTTTATTCAATCAACGTGCACAACACCAATACAGCGCCATTAACGAACAGAGGACCTCCCGCTCCTGGTCGACACAGACTAACTGCGCATGCGTTTCACAGCTTCAAGAGGGCACCCTAGACTACCGTAAGGCCAGTAGTATAGACGCAAAGAGATTACATGTTAACAATCTCATTCTATCTTTTTAAAGAAATAAACAAAACAAAAAATAACTTTACTTTGCATGAATCATAAAACAGTCATACAGTGACTTAAGACAAAAATGTTTAAATTCCCTGAGTAGTCAACATAAATCAGGGAAACATTTAAGAAACAAATACATAAACAAAGGTGTTTTCAATGTTCCATTTCAACAGACACTTTAACCCAGATCCCATTGTCCTTCACTGAGTGCTTTTAAGAGCACAAGAGCCGAAGCTCCTTTTTTTGTGAGACAGTCAGCGAGCTGAGATTTTGTGTCTGACCAACGCTCCTGCTTGATCCTCTTGCTCTGTATGAGCTCCTTAATGCTACTGATTTCCAACCTGAGTCTCTTCTCTGTGACTTGTTTTGTGGACTTGAGCGCATCGAACAGAGAGTGGTTATCGGTCACACAGAGTACAGGGGGTGCATTCAGTCCAGCATTTCCAGTAGTGAGCTCAGAAAATAGTGTGGCTAGAAAAATTGCATTGTCTACCCCATCTGACATGGCAAGAGTTTCCCCTGCAAGGGTACTGCGAACCACTCGTCTGATTTTCTTTGAATGCCAACAGAGGGGGGAAAACTTCCCTCTTTCTCCCATAAGTGTTATAAAA